AAAGTTGTACTTTATAATTTTTCTTTGTGTCATGTCAGCTATAAGAATAAACTTATATAGATCTACTTTTGACATTCAGGGAATTGCATTTTAGTAGGGCTGCAACGATACACCAAATGTTCGATTCGATTTCGATTTTAGACACTCCGATTCGATTTTTTTCGATTCGATACATTTCTGATTACTAATTTATCTTTGGAATATAGTTCTGCTTGTCTGCTCCAAAAGTGAGTGGCCTTCAACCTGGTGCTTTGCTTTTCTGTTGTTATATAACTATTATATTTAAATTTTTTGACTTAATATTTGTGTTTATGAGAATAAAAAGCTCTTGTCCTATTTGGAAAAAATTCTAATCAGACATATAATCATTATTCTCAGTAACATGACTATCACAGATACCCTTCTGCTGACTAGGGAATTTAAAACAAAGTATGTAAATTGTAAAGTAAATAAGGTTTTCAGAACTGATATTCAGATATTCTGTTTATAATTCCCATAATATGTAAAATGAATAATCAATTCCTAATGTCAGTGTTATCACACAATACTTCTTAGTCTAGTAACTAAGTTACAAACAGACTTTTTTGCTTGAAACTTGAACTAGGCATGTCATGATTACCAAACAAGTCCACATCGTGTTTTTCGTTTCATATGTTGCATTAAATTATAACGTACTGCCGGGACTTTGGATATGACACGTCCGTAAAGCATATTTTGCAAGTAGCTTTATCCGTGTCCTGGCCTTCCCGAGACCCAAAGTGTTCCCAAAACCTTTGATTTTAATTTTTTAGGAGGATTTTTAAATTTTATTTTATCAACATTGATGTTGGTAGCCATTTTGACTTGTTTGCCGAAAATAAAACATTACGCGCCCCACTGATTGGATGACCGAGTTTTAACTGGCCAATCGTATGTAACGTGATAAAGCGCGAAGGGAAAGACTAAAACTCTCACTTTTTTCCGATGTTTATTTTTGGCGTGGGGAATCGAATCGAAAATGTTACAGTTGGTATCGGGAATCGAATCGGCGCTCATAAAACCGGTTTTCGATGCATCGAAAGGTATCGTTGCACCTCTACATTTTAGGCCTTCAAATGTGCTATTATTCAGGAGCTTCCGGGGCGCCTCTGGCCCCCGGGAACCCCTGGCCGGACATTGCCCTGGACCCCACTGTTAGCCCTTGCGGCCCCCTGGCCCCTAACAAAAAGTTCAGGTTTTTCAAAATTTTTAACTTGCACCCATGTTTAAAAATTTGACAGGAGAAAGAGGCAGTCTCCCGCTTAAATAGGGAGAGTTCACTGTCATGCATGACCTTAGAGTTTAAGTCACATTGCTCTGTAACCAACTAATTTCAAAATAGCAGGGGAGTGTGTCACAGGTCAGAACTGTTCACTATTTAGGGGAGAAGATGTGTGAGCAGCGGATAGCTCAGTCCGTAGAGCTGCTAAAAGGTATTACTAGCGTCTACATCCAGGTTTGAGTCTAGATCAGGCTGCACATTTCTGTCACCCTGTGACATTTGGTGCCCAACGTTGGACTATGACTGTATTATGTATATAGCTCAGAGTTTAATTCACATTGCTGTTCCTGAGAAATTCAAGGATGAATTTCAATATAGGGGTTGAGTATGTCACAGTTCAAAACTGTGTAAGCCGCATGATAGCTCAGTCTTTGGAGCAACGGAGCAGCTTTCTGAAGGTCCCAGGTTTGAGTCTCCATCAGGCTGTACATTTCTCTCACCCTGTGATATTCTGTAAAATTTTGTCACTGACAAGAGCTCTATACTCATATAGAGCTAGTCTCTGAGAGGTTTAAGGTCTTCTGCATACCAGTTTTTATACTGTGACAGGTTGGATATACTGATTACACAATCTTTAATATAATTAACATATCTTGAAATTGATATTAAAAGGCCCAGAACATAGATATTTGGTATTTACCTTCACTTTCTAGTCATCTACAAAACATTAAGTAGAAACGACCCTGAGGACAAAATTGGCTCTGCCCTTGGGTCACATGCCTTATGTAGACTGATGTATAATGAACACATAATAAACTTTTGAACCAGATTTTTGTTCTTGTATCACTAATACTAATAAACCCTATAAATTTACAATTATTGTTTCTGTTAATGTAGTTCATGTGTTTCATTGGCCAAATAATTTAATGTTTAATCCTCTTTCAGATTTAATTTGTAAGTTTACATGGTTTTCAAAATAACAGACCTGTACCATTCTCATGTACATGACTTTGTTCTTATAAAGTTATGTAAGGAAGCAGACTTGTACTGTTATAATTTGCTTGTTTGTATGAGTACTCTCCCTTTTCTTGTGATAGCAAATAATGTCAGTTTATATTAATCAAAGCACAGAAGGCGCTGAATTTGTTTGGGTCTCGGAATGTCAGAAAGGTGAAGGTTGTGAGATTATAAACCAATTTGTTTTTGTATAGTTCCACCAGTGCTTTCCAGCGTTTTAATTGTAGTTAATTGGCTTTAAGACTAATTGCAACACTGATATTCAATTCAATGTTTATTTGACTTTTACAATTTGAAAAAAAGAGTTGCCTTCCTGGATTTGAACTCCAGACCCCTCGGCCACGGTGAAGTTATATGTAAAAGGCCTGAAGAAAACCATATTATTCTAAATTAGGGTTTGTAACCCTTATTATTTCGACGATAACTGTTGTTTAACACAGATGTTAAATAATAATCATGGAGTTTATTATAAGCATGTATATCTATAAAGGATAAAACAATATTAGAAATTTTCGACCATTCGGGAATTATTTTGCTTGAAAATTAATGCGCCTGTCATTTGACCATCTTTACGCAGTGATCTCCCCTGAATTTTTTCGGCGTAAGTGTACATATAAAGGGAAGTAACCGCTTCAAAAAAGCGGAATACTTTCGGCACTTGCAATTAACAGCATTAGAGTCTGAAATTTTGCTACCATTATTTGTTTGGTCTGACGACCCAAACAAATAAAAACCAACAAGTTAAATGTTGATGCTGCACATCAAAGATGCCGCCAAATGATGTGAACAGTCAATCAGCATTGAAAATCATTCTCTATTACAGTTGAATATCCCAAGCACAAATCAATTTTTTAGCTCGACTATTCAAAGAATATGAGAGCTATTGTAGTCGCCCCGGCGTCGGCGTCAGCGTCCGCGTCGGCGTCTGCATTGGTTAAAGTTTTTTGTAAAGTCAAATATCTCAATCATTACTTGAGATATTCAATTGAAACTTACAATACTTATTTATAGTAACAAGGTACATCAGATAGACAAGTTGGATAACTCTGCCTACAATATTGACAGAATTATGCCCCTTTTTAACTTAGAAATTTTGGTTAAAGTTTTTTGTAAAGTCAAATATCTCAATTATTGCTTGAGATATTCAATTGAAACTTACAATACTTATTTATAGTAACAAGGTACATCAGATTGACAAGTTGGATAACTCTGCCTACAATATTGACAGAATTATGCCCCTTTTTAACTTAGAAATTTTGGTTTAAGTTTTTTGTAAAGTCAAATATCTCAATTATTGCTTGAGATATTCAATTGAAACTTACAATACTTATTTATAGTAACAAGGTTCATCAGATTGACAAGTTAGATAACTCTGCCTACAATATTGACAGAATTATGCCCCTTTGGAACTTAGAAATTTTGGTTAAAGTTTTTTTGTAAAGTCAAATATCTCAATTATTGCTTGAGATATTCAATTGAAATTTAAAATACTTTTTGATAGTAACAATGTACATCAGTTGCAAAAATGCATAACTCTGCCTGCAATATTTGCAGAATTATTTGCCCCCTTTGAAACTTAGAAATTTTGGTTAAAGGTTAAAGGTCTTCAAAGATATTTACTTGAAACTTTACACATGCACTTAGGGTCATAATTGGAGGGTCATAATTGTATGTCACTGACCAAGTTCCATAACTCTATTTTGCATTAAGGCTGATTCATATCCCCTTTATTCTCTTGGTTAATGTTTACATGCAAGTTTTACATATCTCAATAACTGTTAAAGATATTTATTTAAAACTTCACATATGCATTTAGGGTCATAATTGTAGGTCACTGACAAAGATCCATAATTCTATCTTGCATTTAGGCTGATTTTTCTCCCCTTTTTCAACGTAGAAATTCATGGTAAAGTTTTGCTTGTAAGCTGTTATCTCAATTACTACTGAAGGGTTTGTGCCTTTTTGGGACAATTTTATGCATTCATAATAATAAAGCAGTGATTTACTTGAAAAAACATCTTAATTAGAAGCCTTTGTACCTTTTCTGTCAAATTTATGTATTCATAGGTAATTAGTATTATTATACTCAATAAAACACCCTTGTGACATTACCTTCCGAATAGTCAAGCCAATACTGTATAATTAGACTCTCTCTAAGGCCTATAACATGAATTTATAAAAAAAATAGCCCTTTTTACTATCAAGCACTTAGAATAGTCGAGCGTGCTGTTCTACCGACAGCTCTTGTTCTCCATGTTCTTGGTATGTGCTAGTTGTTTAATAATAAAGTTGCATATTTTTGTGAAAAAGTAGAACCTAATGCATAAATTCACAAAGTAATGCCATGTCTGAAATTATTATCATTATTATTATTTGATATTTAAACCTATATATTTTTTTTAAAGAAGATTAAAATATCTACGTAATGATATAAAAATTATTTTATTTCATTGAGTTTTAGTTTATAAATTGCTTACAAATATCATAAGAAATGTAAAAATGTATCAAAATTATTAAGCAAATAATAAATATAACAGTTTATTTCACAAAGCTGAATGAGTCAGATCATGTTTTTGTGCAAATATTGTTAACCTCAATATGTAAGTAACTTGTGTGTACAAACTGAAATATGACATTTGACAAAAAATACAGTTTATCACAATATAATCTAGACTACTGATTGTAAACATTGCACCTTTTCTGGGGAAGAAACATACCAATCAAGTCATATGATTTGTTTTGCACCATGGTCACTTCATTGGTCATTTTGTGCACGATAGTTTTTGACCGTGTGATACCTCTCGAAACAGTTTCTAACACAAAGTGCTTTATGGCATTGCTTGCACTGAAATGTTGTCTCCTTCCTTTTCCTACTTCCCTCTGTCCTGTCCACATTACAAACTACACATGGTCGGGTTGGAGCCTGTTTTTTAGCCCCAGGCTTTGGTTCAATTGCACACGAGAAGTGCCGTCCAGTAAGTCTATCTATTGGTTCAAGTGTTTGCCGCCCACCAGATTTTGGCCGCGGTGCATTTGGTGCAGTCTGAATGAGTGAGGCTATGATTTCTGCTCGAAAATCATGATGTGTCTTCTTCTTTTCATCTTCTGAGTATATTTTGTATAAGATAAAGCTGTTCACAATCATCAAGTTAAACATGTGAAGAAACAGCTTCCTCCACCATTTCATAGATTTCTGGAGAACTTCATAGTACTGCACAACTTGATCCGAGAGGTCAACCCCTCCCATCTTTTTGCAGTACTCCACTATTGGCGTAGGTTTGGTGATTGGCTCATGTGTTTGGCGATTTACTCTTTCCAAAACAGCTAAATTGGCAGTATGAATGGTGGTCAACATGTTGACATCTTTTTTATCATGATATTTTAGAACTAACATGTTCCCTCTTCGTCTAAAGATTGCTTCCCCTTGTCGAAGATTTCTGACGGATTGAATTGCTTTAGGAACACCCTTTCTGTTTATTCTAAGTGTGCCGCAAGCATACGTGTTCAATAAGTCCAGTTCTTCCATCAGCTCTGGCGATGTATAGTTATTATCCATGTAGATATGGTATCCTTTTGAAAGTAAACCACAAAACGCTAACATGCCAATGACAATTTTGGTTGTAGTGCTAAGGTCTATGTATGAACCTTGTGTATCTTCATCTTCAAGTGCTTCTGTGTACTGTATGACATCTCTATCACCATGATATACATCAAAGCCAATGGTGTAGCCTGACTTAGCCTCACAAACTTGGTACAATTTAATTCCAAATTGGTTTGGCTTCATAGGGTTGTATACACGGTAATGAACTCTACCCTTGAATGGACAGAGTCCCTCAACAAAGTTAATGTCTCTTTCAGGTTCATATTTAAGGAAATTTTTATGCAACATTTGTATGAATGGCCGCACTTTAAACAATTTGTCGAATCCGGGTTGCCCTTCTGGAACAGCAAGGTTGTTGTCGACAATATGAAGGTTTGATAAAATCAGATGGAATCTGTTCCTTGTCATATATTTTCCAAAAAAGGAAGTATTGACACACTCCTTTGTAGACCAGTATTGTGCAATATCGGATTTCCTTACAAGACCCATTGCCATTACATTAGTGCAAAGAACACCTTCATTTCATCAACTGTTACATCACGCCAATCGTTCAATCTACTGTAAGGTTTCAGATTTTCATTTTCAATTCTTCTTTGTGCATATTTGTTTGTTTCTGTGACGAGAATATCCCACATTCCTTCGTCAAAAAGCAGGTAAAAAAAGTCCATAGGTGTGGCTTGGTCTGGAAGATCACATCTTAGTCCCTGTCTTCCTTCGAATGGCATCACCGATGGCTCATGATCTTCTCTTTGCCATCCATTGTGACTGTCAATGTCAAAAATCACATCCTTTCCGGACTGTTCAATAGACAGTTCTTGCACTAAATTTGCATTATGTAATAAATCCTCAATACTTTCCTGCTCATTTTCTGACTGATCATTATAATTATCAGTGTCACTAGAACTAGAATTATATATATTTTCATCATCTGAGACATCTTGCACATGCATTCGTCTATTTTGCCCTTCTGCCATTTTTCTGAACTTTTAACAAATGAATAAAACTGAAAACATTTGCACCATCCTGGATTATTTATGTTTAACTTGACCCCAGTCTTTATTATAGAAACAAAGATAATTTCTCCTGCATTCACTGGTAATTATTTCTTATCAGTATGACAGTGCTGCGTTGTGTATTGGATTACTAACAAATCCGTGATATCTCGGTGTTGGCAGCTGTGGTAAGGACATGAAATCCGGGATATGTTGGTGTTGTCATGATAAGGGAAAAATGTGTAGCTTAAATGATTTACAGCTGGTCATCATCAAATACTGTCTTTGTTTAGCAAGAAAATGCTCAATAAACATTAAAGAGAAACTCAGCTTATATAACAATTTCTCTTTCAATAAAACTGAATTCATTTCATGCATAGAGAAATATCTATTTACTGATGTTTGATAAAGATATGAAATATAAATTTTCATAGACATTGATCTTTTATTATTTTATATTACCATAGCAAATAGATGACTGGAAAAGTCCACGGTATAAATTGAAAGGATGTTAACTTTGGTATTGATGTGCATATTTAATGCATATGCTGCAAAATTATGCAGAAATAATGTTCTTAATATAAAATATTATGAATATATTTTCATCATGCATATTTTCTGTAGCTTTACCCTACCAGTTATGTTAAATCATAAATGATACAATTTTTATAGCAGCCAGTCAACTTCTCATTTAAAGCCTGTCATTTTCACTATAGCTTAAATTGTTGAATGTTATGATTCCACTTGGTCTGGCAAAGATTTCTACACAGACAGATTGATTGATGCTTCAATCCTCATCCAAGTTTAGAAGTGACGTGTAATTCTTAACAGTTTTCTCTTTGCTTGACAACATGCATAAATATCAGCAGTCTGCAGCGGAGAATGCACATCAGGTTAGAGTTCTCAAAAGCATTACACTGCTCAACTAAAACATTTTGAAGCAGAAGTTCCTTAAAATTGTTTAATTTTGTCTGTAGCTGTCTCAAATTTAAAGTATTTCAAGTATGGGGAAGAAAACACCAATGTGATAGGGTAGGGATTAGGGGACAGACAGACACACAGACTGTTTAATGGATACAGTTATGTAGTGATCATTTTATTATAATGTTTGAGAACAAAGTGTTGTTTAGAGTTGAGATACCTCAGTAACAAGATAATTTAGAAACATGGTTCCTAGTTTAGCTTTATAGAAATATTCATCCCATTATAATTTTTTTAAAAAATTAAAAATTCAAAAATTCTTGAATGAAAATTTCATTCCCCTGTGGAAAAGAAAAAGGGCAGATTCTTAAAAATTTTTGGAAATGCCCCGAAAAGGGTTTTACATTTTACTTAAAAAAAAAAGTTTTTGGTAAAAAGAAATTTTTAAAGGAAGACAAAAAAAATTATTTATTTACTATTACACAAATTTATGTCCTTCTTTTAGGTCAAATTGTGAAAATTACATAATTAATATTCAATGGCTGAGCATTAGAATTGTACAACATTATGCAATGTGTAATATAAATCGTATTTACACCATTTACACCAATACATTTTGTAAGGAAAATGGCATACAAAAGCTTGCATAAAATTTCAAAACATGTCTATTTTTATTTGAATTTCAATATACGCCTAATAATGAGATTCTCACATTCCTTGTCATATGATGTGAAATTTTATTTAACTTTTCTAAGATAATGTTACAATGCTTGCTTTATACCAATTTCTTTACTGAAATTTCATATTAAATGGCAACTCCTATGAAATCATACATTTTAGTGTGTATTTATATATTTATGTTATATATGTAGGTATATGTATATTTATTAACATGAATTATAACCTGATTAAGTAAGCGTGGCCTGGGAGTTGATTACATCAGTTTCTGTAATGACTGATTGGTATGGTATCGCAGAAAGACAGAAAATTGGCGATGTGAGCTATGTTAATGATGCTTTCCAGCTGCTCTTGTTAAAAAACAATTCCCCATTCAAACAGCAATTCTTCACCAATAACTGTTTTCTGCACGGGTCTTAATTGGCCGTCTGCTTCAAGTAGAACTTAAACTGCTACTTTTACTGATGTTTTTATTCTACCTACTGCCTTTTAAATGTTAGTTACTTAAGGGTGCATTTTGGTTCCAGCTTTGTGTAGGAAAAGTAATTGTCTAACTTGTCAATCACTTTTGAGGCTGTGAGTGTGAATCCTTCTCTAGCATTTTTTTAGGTTTACAAGTTCCTTCTATTTTATTTCACTGTTGCCGTGGTTTTCTGTCAAATGAACAACTGAATTCATTAAAAAAAATATTGAAGCTGTAAAAAACAAATTATTTTTGTATGACATTATCATAACTTAATAAGCGGGCAAAATTTAGGTACAAAATAATTTAAATTTATTGTCTCGATAATAAATTGAACGAAAGTTGTAAAAATTTAAACTTCAGTTAAAATTTTAAAATGTCCCCTTTATTTTAGGAAAAAATTAATCTGATTTTAAAATTTAAAAATAATTCATTTTATAGGGGAATGTTTTTTTATCTGAAAAAGGGTTTGGTAGTAGGAGGAAAATTGAGGGAATGAAAATTAGGTGTTAAACCCTTTTCCTTGTCTGTCAAACCCATTTTTTATTTTTAAACAAAAAACGGGAAAAAAATCTATCTAGATGAAATTTATGAAAAGCCCCCATTTTGCTGGGTTTCAAGAGGGGAAAGGGGTAGACTAATTGAGATTAACTTTGTTTTTCCATTTCCCCCCCATAAAGTTCCCTTTCCCGGGAAAAAAGGAAATTTCCCCTTTGATATTTTTATCCGTGCAAAAATGAAGTAAGAAATTAAAATAATACTGGGGATTTTGTTTTTTCTGATATAACTCAATATTATGATAGTAAACTGCAAATCTTTTATAAATCTCTCTTTTGAAGTAGGGCTTAAACCTACAGTCCCTGGATTGAATGGCAGAAACCTTAGCCACTAAACCACAAGGCTTTGCTCATTTGGAAAACTTTTCACAACAAGTTAAACAGAAAACACATTTTATAATAAAATATATTTACATGTATATCATAGCTGATTCTCTTGACAATAATATTGTTTGTGTACTTGTCATTAGTAATTTCAAAATTTCCAATTAATCCTTTCCTACACACATTTCTGCCCAGATTTCCCTGGTGTGCTCATATTATAATGTTCTCATAATGATGGAGAAGAAAAACTAAACAGCTGCTATTGAAATAGTTAGGCAGAAAAAAAACAACAAAGAAAAAATGTAGGGAAAGCAGAAGCATTATTTCCAAACATTTGTGTTACTTTTGTTAACTTGCAGTAATAAGTTAGTTATAGGAATGGGAATTGCATTTTAGGGCATAATTAAGTTACATATTACACGAAGCAAAAGTTTGGAAACAGTTGTATGCGAAATTAAGTTGTAATATTTCTGGTGTTTGTGGTTTTACTTTTTTATGACCCTGTCAGCTGTCAGAGTAATGGGGAACATTAATCTGCAGAAACAGCTTTGCTATTTTATATATGCAGCATCCATTGCTGTTCTGTTTCACATGTTCAAATACAGTAAAATACAATCCAAATAATACAAATAAGTGATATATTTTGTTCTTTATTACATTTTTAGTATGACTTTTCAAAGAATAGGAAGAGCTCTTTAATTTTACTCAATCTGGTGTCGATAGTTCATTTAGTTGGTATCTCCAAAACTACTGAAGGGAATGGGTTTTAACTAAATCACACATTTATTTGAAAGGTCACTATTCAAGGCCAGTAACTTTTAACATGGATTGTAACAAAATTATAGCCTTTTCTGAACCTCGAAAATTCTACTTTTTCCACTCTTGTTTTACTATCAAGCTCTGAGAGTAGTCAAGCAAGCTGTCCTACTGACAGCTCTTGTTATAAAGAACAAAATTAAGAAGCAGATTTGTTCACAGCATGATAAATTTGATTATGTTTTTATAACTGTTATATTAATAGAATTGTTTTAAATTTTATCATACTACTAACAGCACACCTCTCAATATTTATAACAAGTAAATCTTAGGTCCACATCACATAATATCTTAACTAAACCTGTTTATACTGGATAAAGAAGAAAATTTCAAACCAGGAAGCCTTTTTTTAGGAATAAATTTATGCAAATGGAGTCCTCTAACAGTGTTAAATATAAAACATTTTAAATATATAGCTTTAATATAAGCTGCTATAAAGTATGTACATCAAATTTCTTATTTATGTTGTCAGCTTATTGAATTATAGGTTATTGGCTGGGTACAATGATTTTCATCCTTTCCGATCAATAATATTCCCTCGTTTTGGGCACATTTGTGTTTTTTATAGTGTCTAGCTTTTATGCCTGTCTGCTCTCTTGTGTTATAATATCCGTGTTTTAAACAAATGCATGTTGTGGTTCAAATAATAGATGAAAATAATTGCATTTTAATAGGAATTAGTCATATCGTCCTGCATTGTGTGAAGTTTTAATATCGTGGAGTTTATTATCGTGGGGATGTTTAAAGATTAAAGCAAGTTGGATAGTATTGGTAATATTTGTGAAAAATTTTGGAAAAGTGGCCCCCGAAGATTTGGATTTTAAAAAGGGTAGGTTTATCAAATACTTTTCAAGTTTTTTTAAAGGATGTCAGGGTTTTTAAAAATTTTGTTAAACACTTTGTTATTTTTAAACATTCTTTTTGTTTTTTTCCCTTTTGATTGATTTTAAATTTGGTTAAAAAAGAGTTTAAACATTTTTCCGGAAAGTTTATTGCAGATGGTAGCATACGTTTTTATTACACATATAAGGAATTTAAAAGTTAAAATCATAAATCCCCCTTTTAAAAAATGATCACCCTTCATCTTTTTTTCCCGGGACTATTTACGGGTTTTAAACAGTTCTGAATTTTGGAGTAAAAGCCCGACTTTAAACGTCTTCTAATTTGATGGAGAACATCCGAGTAATCAAGGGTTCAAATGACCCGTTTGACCCTTTTGGTTCTGGACAAACAGCCAATCAGAATGAAGGATCTGGTGGGGCTCTTCTTGACCTCGATTTTGATGCACAGGTTAGTCTTTTCTTGTTAGTAATACATCCCTTTACAGTCTTTATGTTTTATACATCACTTTATCAAGTGATAAACTTTATCAAGTGATTATCAATAGATACTAGATATAATTACTTTTTTTAGGCATGTTTAGTCTGAACTTTTCAGCCCTAATTAGGAGTTACATATGAGAGATTAAAATGCTTCAAAATTTGCATGATACAATGACAGTTATCATTGATGTGTTTACATAAAAACATAAAAAAAGAGAAAAAAAAAGGCTTAGTGTGATATTTTAATAACAAAAATAATTTATAAAATTTCTCTGGGATGAATATGATTTTCTTTCATTGTTGTCAAACACTCAACACTTGGGCCATATAGATGTGTCACTATTTACAAAATTATTTCAAAATTAAAAGAAAGTAAGGAATTTTTTTGTTGACTCCAAATGTTCTTTTGGAGTATTATGTTTTCTACATACTATAACAAGGTCTTGAGCAGCTTACTGCAGACCTAAGACGTATCCTTCTGAAATTGAATTCTTAAATTGTCACCACATGTTAGTTGGTAGCTTTTCTGCCTTGAAAATAACTTTCATTTAAAAAGCACTTAATTGAGGATGAACAAAGCTTTATAGATTTAATAATCCAATACAAAAATATCATTGAATGAAAAACTCATCTGTTATATGATCGTGAATATGAATGAGTCATAATTTTCCTGGCAACCGTTTGGGACACAATAGCCTTCTTATCCCAAAGGTCTGCATATTTGTTTGTTGTTCAGCTTCGTTTATCCCAAAAATAGTCTGAATAATCACTGTTTAGCAACCAAGCTATTTTTGTTTTCTCCTGCTCATAAGCTGATTAATTCAGTTTCCTTTCCGCGTGCTGATTTATTAAAATATTTTTATTTGCTGATTAATTTAGTCTCCCCCTCCAAAAAGAACTCCCTTAAAATGTTGTTTAAAAATGGATAAATGTAATACAATTTCAAGAAAATTAACAAAGAAAATTTAAATTTTTTGGGCTGAATTCATGGGCCCAAAAATTTTTTCGTATCCCTTTATTTGGGAAAAAGTTTCAATTCTCCCTCTTTTCAAAAATTTAACAGGATTTTTTTAAAAACTTTTCTGGAAAAGCAGGGCGAGTCTTGTTGATTAACAACAGGGGTTTTAAAAACATGAAAAGTTTTTCCCCGGTCTATGAAAGGGTTTTTTGTAAAATAAGGGGGTGTTTACAAAATCCAAAAAACACTTTAAAAATAGTTCTTTAATCTTTTTTTAAGTCACGGGGTTTACCAGTAAAGTTTTAAACAAAGTGGGATTTTTTGGGCCCAAAAATTTTTTTTGTTTTTAAAGCTCTATGTTGGCTTCTTACATGTAAGGAAGCTTTATGATTTGTAGCTAGCTTATAAATTAGATTGGTGGTTCTCACTTACGTGCCTTCTATGGATCTCACTTACGTGCCTTCCTTGATTCTCACGTGCCTTCTATGGTTCTTACCTACGTGCCTTCTATGGTTCTTGCTTATGTGCCTTCTATGGTTCTTACTTACGTGCCTTCTATGGTTTCTTACTTACGTGCCTTCTATGGTTTCTTACATACGTGCCTTCTATGGTTCTCACCTACATACCTTCTATGGTTCTTACTACAATGTTTCTTACTTACCTGCCTTCTATGGTTCTTACTTACGTGCCTTCTATGGTTCTTACTTACGTTGCCTTCTATGGTTCTTCCTTACGTGCCTTCTATGGTTCTTAACTTACAACGCCGCTTCTATGGTTTCTTACTTACGTGCCTTCTATGGTTCTCACTTATGTGCCTTCTTATGGTTTCTCTCACTTACACGCCTTCTATGGTTCTTACTTATGTGCCTTCTATGGTTCTTACTTACATGCCTTCTATGGTTCTTACTTGCGTGCCTTCTATGGTTCTTACTACTATGTTTCTCACTTACATGCCTTCTATGGTTCTTACTACAATGTTTCTAACTTACGTGCCTTCTATGGTTCTTACTACACGCCTTCTATGGTTCTTACTTACGTGCCTTCTATGGTTCTTACTTACGTGCCTTCTATGGTTCTCACTTACATACCTTCTATGGTTCTTACTACTATGTTTTTTTTACTTAGGTGCCTTCTATGGTTCTCATGTCCGTGCTTTCTAATGGTTCTTACATGCCTTCTTGTGCTTGAAGAAATAAATTATGAGGTGACAACTGAGAAAAACTGACATATATTTTACAGTGTCAGTGTAACTTAAAATCCTTAAAGTGTCCATGAGTAGTTCATATAAACCTGATATATTTTATCAGTTTCCATAACTTTATAGATAAAATAAGCATTATAAAATTATTTATGACATGAAATTTCAAAAATGTTGACAACAGCTCTTTTACTTTAATTTTGATGTGTAGCTGCTTTATAAATTTTTCTAATCCCTATTGAAATTTATGTACATAATGACTAATTTCATCAGTTTTTGTAGGGGATTAAAATTTTTTATCCAAATATATATGTCATTGACATTGTTCCTGGATGCACAATGGTTTGCAGGCCATGAAAAAACTTTGATTTCATGATATGTCATCAGGCATCATGATGTAATTGAGACTCTTAATACAAGTGACAAGTGTGCAATAAAGTGCATGTATAATTCATAAATTATAATTTTTGGCAATTAACTGCAATCTGTCGGCAAGTGAATGGTAACAATTACCAGTTAAGCAAGACAAGAGACTTTAACGATAAATTAATTTGAGACATTATTGATTTATTGATCTCACTTATATGAGAATGGTGACCTCAGCTACCAGGTGATTTTATATCAAGACTTATTGACCAATATTTACTGTGATGGTTTCTTCTGGAGGTTACAATAAATTTACAAGATTTGAAGTGTTTTTATCACTGTTTGCCTTTGTCCCTCTGGGAATAATCATCTGAGCTAGTGGTTCTGTTACAATATAAAGTGGACCAACATTGGCACTTGAGTCATAGATTTTACTTCCAACTCTTTTTGATTTTCAACTCTTTGCCAAACAAACAATTACTGCCAATGAAAACATGATTGTGAAATGATATTTATTGTTCAAAATTTGTTCTTATTTTCTCAGACTTGTTTAATGAGTGTTTCCATAGCAACTGTTTATCACTAAATCCAAGTGATTTTTTACTGAAATCGGATAGCTAATAAATTGATCTCCATTTTAATAAAGTTGTATTAAAGGTTGTTTGCTGGTTAATGTAAACTTTAAAATAGAAGCACTGAAATCATGTCTGTGATAAATTATATAAATTCTGTCATTCAGCCAAGTGATTACTTATATCCTTAACCTGCTGGTACTGGGAGTGATTAGCCTTTGTCACCAGTGTAAAGAGTCTGAACTTGGAAGCTCAGGGACAATTATTAATTTTAAGAAATTCAGTAAAGGGTTAAGCTCAACATCTATGAATCATTTGCCCCTATCTGCTGTGGGTTTGAATCCATGTTTTGATTACCGTATAAGTACTTTTTTCTGCGGGAACTTTATTTCTGCTATTTCTGCGGTTCTTAGCGACACTGCAGATTTAAAATCCGCAGAAAATTAAGCCTTTCCATATGTCTATGTCGGAATATGTCAACTACCGGTATTGTATAATTACATTACCATGTACCGTTATCGGCTTTTGTAGATGGGAATTTTTCTTTATGTATCTGTCCTGCATAAAATATTAGAAAAAAAGTTACTTTACTTGTTCTTTTTGTTTAAATAAATATCATGTTTGTATGATTTTTGCTCACCCTAAGTTTGATTTTTTTTGTAAAATAAAACTATTTTAGTTTGATGGGTGCAATAAACATACCCTTTTGTATTTGTACTTTGTACTTTATATATGTATTTGTATCTTGTTGTCTACATGCGATTTTACCATTGTTTATTTTTCGCACTTCATATTTATACACATGCAGTATTACAATTAATTGTTGTCATTGCATGTTGTTGATTTTTGTTTATTAACGTTTACATACCGATACATGATGATTACGATGAAACACATTATAAGTAGTCTGCATGTTTACCCGAAGTAATGTACATGATACTGCGAATTCACTTATATTCGTGGGCATGAAATTAAGTGGTTTTATCAAAACCGACATTTTCATGGGTTCTTAACTTCGTGGATTTTCAATTTCTTGTAAAAAAAATAAAATAAATAACCTAATGCAAAGTAATCTTACACCTAATCGCCCCGCATTTTACTTACCGCATGTACATATCTTTATGTATCACACAGCGCTTTTCTATAAATTTATACCTTGCATCTGGGCATTATTTACACAAAAATCGGTGGAAAAGCGCCAATGCATGTTTGTAATATATAGAATAGAGACATGGCAAGAAGTGTTTGTTGGGATAAAATTTCGTCGGATCTTAAATTTGTGAATTGACCTACCCACGAAAACCACGAAAATTCGTGCCCGACGAATAATAATGATTTTACAGTACATCAACAAATCTTGAAATGTTATCTGTTATCAGTTAATTTTGTAAAAATATCTAAATTAAAACACAGAAATAAAAAATATCAATGCGAGAATGATGACACCGCAGAAATAAGATACGCAGAAATTTAAAACCCCTTATGTTAACAAAAATCGCAGAATATTAAGCCCGCAGAAATAAGTACTTATACGGAACTTCATATAAGGAAGATTATCACATTGTCTTGTTTTTGTTTTCTTTTTTCTTACATATAGGGATGATTTTCTCTTAAGAAGATGGTAAAATGATATACTTCAACTTGTTCGAGATGTGTATATGGACTGAATGATAACCATAAATTGGCCATATCTATAAAACTGGAAGTCTATCCTCATGACACCCCCTTTCCATTATTGTAACATTTTAATGAAATTTTCCATGATAAAGTGGGAGGAGTGTAGGGAGACTAAGGTTAATGCATTAATTTAGATGATCTGGGATTATTATAGATGACATATATAGATAATTATAATCATTGCTGTGATACAGTAA